TCGAGCACGCATATTATTCATTTAGATATAAAGCCAGCGAACATCCTACTGGATTCTGATGGGGATGCCAAGGTTTCTGATTTTCTGAAAGAGAGCCTAAAGCATGGTGGTGATCATACCCCTGTACGAAAATATTTGACGCGTGTGCCAAAATATTTCAGGTATTTTTCCTGTCATGTTCTGATCCATGCCATTCATGCTTTCTTGCTAAAAGTTCCATTTTCATTTTACACTTTATCATTTCATTGTACTTACCAGTATGCAACCCCGCGTTGTAAAAATCTTGTTGCTTGCTCGCAACAAGTTTGCTGAGCAATTTGCCTGTATCAAATCCATGGTGCCGAAGAGTATCTTTGACATGGCTAAGAGATTATGTTCCTCTGTTTTGCCCAACGGGTGTAAAGCAGATTGGAATTCTGCAAGTTCAATGTCAGAGTCAACTAATGCCCTATTCGTTTGGGCTTGTTTGGCTGATAAGCCATGGCTGAAAGTACTGTTGGCTGGTTTGGCGTGAGAGAAAATGCTGTTCGTTGGCTGATAAGCCATGGCTTATAAGTCAAATACGACCTAGCGAACAGGCTGTAAGTTAGGAACAGTCTCTGAGTTCAGTACCAGGAAAAGTACTACCAAGAGGAACGAACTTACTGAAAATGGATCAGATCTCAGGTATTCCATATTTCTTTAAATAACTGCAATCAATTTTCCCTATCGTACTAGTTCCAGTGTTTACAAAGTTAATACTAGCATCTCGTTGATTTGGCTGTGCTGATACACTTATCACATTTCCATCTCACTTAATTCCTAGCCAATACCTTCCTTCGTTACTGTTTCTTTTTATTATGTACTAGCAGTAGTGACATTTTTACCTCCACTATGGTCAATGGCCAGTGATACTGATATGTCTGGAGCTGAACATGGCATCAAGGAAGTGAAGGCAAACACAGAAGCTGATTGGATCGCCGCAACTGCTGCTCCTCACCATGCAACAGGGAACCGTGACCTTCTTTCTGGATCCGTTATCGAGCATGATGATCAATTTGTTCATGCGGTCGATGGGGTGCCCAGGAAGGTTGTTGCCCATGGCGCTGTGATCACAGATGCGGTGGTATTTCCCGATGTGTGGTTTGTACCAGGGCTCACAGAAAACCTGGTGTCAGTTAGCCAGCTTGCTGAGCTAGATCACAGCATCGGGTTCGGCCGCGGTGAGTGCTGCATTAGGAGTGCTCGGGATGCCAAGATCGTGGGGAAAGGACGTCTGCAGAAAGGTGGACATTACGTGCTGGACTACCTCAAGGTTCCACTTGCCATATGATTGGTTACGTTCATCAGAAAATTATTTGAGATGGTTACTGAACTACCTTGTGATTTTACATCCCTGGTACAGCGTTGTATGATGTAATTTGAATAAACTAGCAGGGTTGGTAGCTGTGGCTCTGTCTCCGTGGTGCTAGCAGAGCAGGGCTTTAAATAGTTTGGCTTGTATTCGTATGTACTGTATATGGGCTCTCACCTTCATTTCGTTGTCTGATTAAGTAAGAAGGCCTGTGGATTTCGATCAATATGTATTTGTTGCAGTCCTGGTATGCCACTCATTGTTGCCTCGTTTCGATGGCATGCTTTGTCATTCAGTTTTATTTGTCTGTGGGTTATGGTTAGCTCCATGCTTTGAGGACTCTGCTTTAGCCTTTCATGTACCGATCAACTCATCAGAATATGGAGGTGATTACTATGTAACTGTATTTTTTTTCCATTGCCTAGAACCACCGGAAAAGGCTAAATAACAAAATCCACCACTACATGTGCTGTTGTTCCTTGTCCAGTTTAAGTTTGCACATAATTCTGAAGAATGGAAGTAATACAGGTTGGAGTAGAGTTTGAGGTGATATCTATGACAGGGTAGCAATGCTAACTTTAACATATATTAATATTAAAGCATTATAATCACTATTTACTCCAACAAATTGAAAGACAACTAAAATAGAGCCACCTTTGGTCTGCACTAGTCTCCTCCGCTTCTCAAGATGTTTGAATTGTCATATAAAAAATTACATGTGTAGTAATCTTACATTACCATTACCATATAAATATAGTTCTTACAATTATATTATTAATATAGATATAGATATATCACACATTTTAGATAAAATGTATAAATTCAGCAAAAGTAACAAATTATACATGGGTTGATACTTATTTTTATAGTTTGGCCTCTAGTTGGCAGCTTTTTTTAGGTCGTTTGGTGTTGTTTTTATATTTTGGCCCCTAAGTTGGCAGGTTGTTCTTTTTTTTGTTCTTGCTTCTTTGGATGATTTGGCCCACAATTTGGTAGCTTTCTTGTTCTTGTTGTTAGTTGTTGTTTTTATAGTTTTGCCCCTAGTTTGTTGTTTGTACTTTTTTATTGTGGTTGTATGGGGTTGTTTTTATGACTTTGCCCCCTTGTTTGCAAATTTTTTATTGTTGTTGTTACAGGTTCGTCAACACTTACCAGTATTTTTTATTGATGTCCCTGGTTGCTAGCTTTTTTGTTGATGTTATTAGTGGTTGTTTATATAATTTGGACCCCACTTAGCAGCTTGGTTTTTTGTTCATGTTGTTAGGGATTGTTTTTATAATTTGGCCCCCAGTTGGCAGCTTGTTTTTTTGTTCTTCTTGCTAGAGATTGTTTCTATAATTTGCCCCCTGGTTGGTAGCTTTTTTTGGTTGATATTGTTAGTGGTTGTTTTTATATTTTGGCCCCCAGTTGCCAGCTTGTTTTCTTTTGTTTCTTTTGGTTTTGCTTGATTATATAATTTGGTATCTAGTTGGCAGCTTCTTTTTCTATGTTGTTATTGCTTGTTTTTATGATTTGGTTCCTAGTTGGCAGATTTTTTGTTGTTGTTAGTGTTCTTTTTCTTATTTGGCGTCCGCAGTTGCTAGGGTTTTTTGTTGATGCCCCCGGTTGCTAGCTTTTTTTTGTTGATGTTGTTAATGGTTTTTTATATAATTTGGACCCGAGTTAACTTGTTTTTTTCATGTTTTTTGGGGTTGTTTTTTAATTTGGGCTCTAGTCAGCAGCTTGGTTTTTTTTGTTCTTCTTTTTAAGGGTTGTTTCTATATTTTGCCCCTAGTTAGTAGCTTCTTTTTCTTTTTTTATATTGTTTGTGGTTGTTTTTATATTTTGGCCCCTAGTTGGCAGCTTTTTTTTTGTTTCTTTTGGTTTTGCTTGTGTACATAATTTGGCGCCAGTTGGCAGCTTATTTTTCTATGTTGTTATTGGTTGTTTTTATGATTTGGCCGCTAGCTGGTAGCTTATTTATTGTTGTTGTTTGGAATAATATTTCTAGTTTGGTGTCTGCAGTAGGCAGCTTTTTTGTTGATGCCCACAGCTGGTAGCATTTTTTTGTTGATGTTGTTAATGTTTGTTTATATAATTTGGACCCCAATTGGCAACTTATTTTTTTTGTTCTTCTTGTCCGGGCGTATGTCTATAATTTGCCCCCTAGTTGGTAGCATGTTCTTTTTTATTGACATTGTTGGTGGTTGTTCTTATATTCTGGCCCTCAGTTTGCAGCTTGGTTTTTTTTTTTGTTTCTTTTGGTTTTCCTTGTTTATATATATTTCGAGAACTTCTATTTCTATGTTGTTATTGGTTGTTTTAATATTTTGGCCCCAATTTGCAGTTTGTTCTTTTATATGGTCACATTCAGGAGTTCGTATTTTTCTTGCTTTCTAATTAGGGCCATGGCAGTCATAATAATTAGTGGTCATGATTTTTATGGCCTTTTTAAATTTAATTTGTCATTATTTGTCAAACATGTATCATTTTAAATTGTTATTTCTGCAACTGCATTTTTCATTATAACGAATATGTTTTTTTTGCTACTTAGATTCACTAATTAAAGAAGCCTAGCACGTGTGTCATACGTCTGGAGCATAGTCGAAAATGCAGTAAAACAACAAGGAACAACATCGGCCCTATTGACAGCTGCCATGTATAAACATTGAACCTATAGACCCCATGAACCGACAAGACATATTTATACGTTCTTGTAAGACGCACAACAAATATAGGAAACAACACAGCATACATATTTAGACATGAACACACCTCGGCCTGGTAAAGATTGCGAATTCAATGTTTTGACCTAGGCAACCGGCCCACATATATAGACAACAAAACATCAAAATTCAAGAAGACATCAGATTAAAATCCGATGGTTCAAGATCTGTGTGCCGAAAGCTGTCAAAACACTCACTTCTTCTTATGCCCGACATTGGTTGTTTTTCTCTCGGCTGTGAACACGCGGTTGTTAGAAGACAATTAGACATCCGAATGACCTATAGACAGTGATATATGTGTGTTTCCTCTAATTAAACCCCATATAGCATTGAACCCCGTATACCTGCAGTTTGTAGTCGCTTCTCCCAATGATTATTTAAGAATTTTTTCTGCAAAGCTCTTTTTTGTTGAATAATAAGAACATAATTTTATTGTAAAACAAATAGGGCGATGCTGCGTCTTTTCTTGTGCAACCACAGACACCTACACACACCACGACATTCACACTTAGGCCCCGTTTAGATCCAAAAATTTTTGGATTTTGGCTCACTGTAGCATTTCGTTTGTATTTGATAATTAGTGTCTAATTATGGACTAATTAGGTTCAAAAGTTTCGTCTCGCGATTTCTCGACCAACTGTGTAATTAGTTTTTTTTTTCGTCTATATTTAGTACTCCATACATGTGCCGCAAGATTTGATGTGACAGTTACTGCGCAAAAATTTTTGGATTCTAAACGGGCCCTTATCATACTGGAGTAGACTATGTGCCTCACTGTCTATGGAAACGTCACCTCCATTGAAAGAAGCCACCTGGTCGTATTTTTTGCAAAGCGCCAAACCTATGGATCGATACAAAGGTGAGCTGAGAACCTCGACGGAGTCGGCAAAGGTGATGAAGCCCAGATTCCCAGAACCTCGATACAAAGGTCACCTCCATTAATAAGATGGTGTGAAAGCTTATTAATTACACGGAGACGGAGTCGGCAAAGGTGAGGCCAGCACCTTGGCCTCCTCAACAACCTTATCCAGCCTCGCCACCATGTCCGGCGTCATGTAGTTTTTCCAGTCACCGACCTGGCCCTTCCTGAAGAACGCATCATTCGTAATACCTAGCACTGTAGTACTCCCGTTCTTGTTCACGTCCATGCTCCTAAGGTTTTCACAGTCGTGGGGGTTGCGGTGGCTGAGCGGGTGCTGGCCGTTGGCGTTGGACGGTGGGTGCGTGGCGCGATTGAGCGTCGCGAACGCGAGGGCCTTGAGCAAGGTGGTGCTGGACTTGGGCAAGCTGGCGACGAAGATGTCAGATGGGTTTGGCTCGAAACACGCGCGAGTGCGAGTGCGAGCGGCAGCCATGCATGCCCTTTAGCAAGAACTCGGCTTTCCAGAAGCCCCCGTACTGGCAATGGGGCACCGGGAACCGCGTCTCCATGGGCAGCGAGTCGATGCTCTCAGCTGCAGGTAGGTTGGCGTACAGGCTCAGGTTCTTCCTCGACTGTTCATCTGATGCTGCTGCTTCTTCGGCTTCGGATGCCACTGCAGTAACCACTTTATCACCGGCGCCGGGGACGGCTGGCGCAGAGTAGCAAGTAGTAGTAGTACTCATGGTGGTGTGTTTGGTATGTGCCTATAAGCGCTTACATATGCATGTATCGAAACTAAGCATCCTTCAATGAATGACAGATCGAAGAAGGCAACAAGGAATTGCTTGCATGCATGCCAAAACTCACCAGATAAATGTCTCCGACCTCGCTCCACGAGTCCCTTCCTCCTCTCTCCTCGTTGATGCACAATGCCGGCAACTATGAGTTTACTTTGTGCGAGGCATTGTAAACATTCTCCTCGATCTAGGCTGGTTTATATACACGTATGAGAATTATAACTCCAACTTGGACAGTGTTGAATAAGTTAAATGATAGGACGATATGATGGCCAATCCAGTATTAGATAAAATCATAGGACGATATGATGGCCAAAGCAAATATTATGACATAAATATGTTTTGTATATTGATAGATTGAAAATAGTAATAGTCTTTAGTGTAAGATGATGTGGCATTTAGTAGGGGTTCACACACGATAATTTACATTGAAAATATTAATTAAACTTAGTGAAAAATAATATATGGCACTTATAAGTAGGGCAACTCAGCGGGGTGTGACACATGGATAGCTTGCATGTTAAGATAGAATGGTAGTGAGGATTAATATAACTTTATTATAGGAGATATAGGGTAGGGCTAACAACAATAAGAATAAAGGAAGTATATATCATTACATCCCCTGCTCATCAAAAGACAGCATGGTTAGAATGCTTTGTGTGTGAAAGAGTTACGAATATGCGTTAAGAGCAGGTGTAATGATCGATGCACGAAGGAACCTAGCAGGATAGTGATGCACGCGCTAGATATTCTTATATCTGCTTGTTAGGAGATTCTTCCTAGCTCAAATTTGTCCTTTGTGCCTGTAGAGATCGATGTGATTAAGTATTAACCATGTGATGTGACCAGAATCTGTCTATTCCTCCGTTTCGTAGTACACATGTACACGTCTGTTACGGAATGAGGTACTAATGGAAAAACCTCCTAGAAAAAAGAGTGTCTAGTTATATGTCGACAAATTTTATATGGTCAAATCTGTTAGATTTTTTATAAATGTAACCCAGTAGACAGTTGTAACATAAATCCCAAAGCACAATCAAGCGTATAAAAATCTGATAGATCTAGTAAAAAAAATTGTAAATAGATAAATAGCAAAGGTCAGAAAAAAGATACGACAGATAAGAAGTACCAAAAAGAAAATTTGTCCGTTCACTTATTGGCGACTAATTGCATGTTAAAGGCATCTCAGTGGAGATCACCACCACAGGCGTTTAAATAAATAAAAAACAGACGAAGCAAGGAAATGAGAAATATAAAGAAGATGAGGAAATGGTTTTGAATATCGAGCAGGTAAGAATCGATACTTGTGGTTGTTAGGAGATTCTTCCTAGCTCAAATTTATCCTCCTTGCGTGCGTGTACAGTTGAGATCGACATAGTAAGTAGTATTTTTTATGAATTGCACTTCGCGGGGAGTGTGATATTTTTCTATTTTAGCCATTTTTACAAACTATTTCTACAAATAGACCCCTGGCATAACTATTTGCAGAAATAGACCGAAAGCTCGGCGTACGCAGGAACCACGCCAAGGTATGCGACTCGGCGTTTCTTGATCTAATGCTGACCATGCCACGTCGCTACCAGCGTGGCAAACGCGGCAAAGCTCGGCGTGGAGTTCTTTAACGCTGAGGTTGGCTAGCTCGGCATTGCACAAATTCACGCCTAGCTAAAGAACTTGTGAAAGCTACCAGTGCACATGCATGTTTGTACTTTATGCGTTTAATATTTTGTGAATTTCATAGAAAATTAAATATTGACGTGAGATCAGCTTTATTTAGATTGATAATGTCATCTATTATGCTTGATACAAATTCGTAAGGTTCCCAATTTCTTTCCCCAAAACATATTATTGTAATATAAAATTAGAAACAGGAGAAAAGGCGACTAGAGGGGTTTAAATGAGAGCCGATTTAGATTTTGGGTGAAATTAGCCGTTGTCCCAATACCGCCCACATAAACTGCAAAACATCAATGTGAAGTGCACACGAGTCAACTGGTGACGGGATGTCCTTAGAAAACTCTAAAGAACATAGCGGAATGCACACTAAGGCAAGGCAGCGAGAAACACGGTGGAACACACAAAACCGCAACAAAGGAACACCTAGCAGTAGGCAAGCCGGCTAGGCTGGTTCCCCACCCCGCTTAGCCGACTCTTCACACCCAAGTCAGCTTAGTCGACTGCAGAGTTGGTGTTGGGAAAACGGTTCCCAGCAAGGTAAGACTCAAGAGGGCCTTCGCATGAATGAAGGTTGAACTCAAGTGAGAACACTAAGGTCTCCCTTTCTTTTACATGGGTTTGCTTCTCCCTTTTATAGGTCACTATACACAGGGGAGTTAGTTTACAACTTTACCCTACAACCTACCGGGCATATTCCCAAGATATGCCCGTACTAGGTCTAGCCTCTAGGGGCATCTTGAGTCTTCTCTCCCCCCACTGCCTTGCCTTCATGGGCTTTAGCCATGAGCTTAGTGGATGCCGCCCATTAGCCTCGTATCTTGTGACCTTCCTTGGAGCCACACATGTGATGGGCGGAGGCTGTGAGCCTCCGCCGGTTCTTCCCGTCTTTCAGCTTGCCTCTCCGTCTTCCGTCCGGCGGCCTTCGCCATGCTTTCCCATGCTTGGCCTCGGGTTCAACCATGGGTCTTCGTCGGCGGGTCTCCGCCAGTCTAGAGCCTTCGCATGGCCAAGCTGTCGTGAGCAAAGGTTTCTGTCGAATCCCTATCTAAAAATGAGAACTATGGTAATGATTTGCAATTCCATCCAGGTGCATGGCAAAGGAGTTATAAAAAGGCGAGTTAGTCTTTGCGGCCAAGGTATCTGTGTCCCAACAGCTAGCTTGGCCCTTATCTGCCTGGCACAAGAGCCTGAGACTAGCTTAGCCATCTTCCTAGCCGGCCTAGCAGCTTGATCATCTCTCGACAATTACTCATCATCACAACACACATGGGCACATTTTAACTATATGTTCGCATTAGCTATAAATCCAATTGAGCTGCTAATTAATATCCTCTCGTGCGGAGAGTTGCACTTAACGAATATTTCCTCTGAACCCATTTCTTAGGCACTCTCACAATAGAAACATTGCATGCAACAACAAATAGTGCGGTATTAATTATTATTACTCATAACGCCAGAACACGCTATCCTCTGCCATAAACCATTCGATAGTGATGGGGACTTCTAATCCGACAGTGATTATCAGTTCTAGCGTACTTAGGCCCTGTTTAGTTCACAAAAATTTTCACCCCAAAATGTCACATTGAATCTTACGGCACATGCATGGAGTACTAAATATAGACGAAAAAAAATTAATTGCACAGTTGGGTGAGAAATCGCGAGACGAAACTTTCGAACCTAATTAGTCCATAATTAGACATTAATTGCTAAATACAAATGAAAATGCTACGGTAGCCAAACCCAAAAATTTTCGTAAACTAAACGCGCCCTCAGTGTTGGCCGTTCGAAATCCCAGGGTCGCGTATGCCTCGAAATGGCTGTGGAACCTTGCATACCGGCCTTTCTAAAAAAGTGCGAGAGCATCAATCAGTCTGGATGGGCATGTCTGTTCACCATTATTAGCTTATATATATGCGCGTACGTGATAGTTCATGCACAAGGTAACTAGCTTCTTCCCAAAATTATTTCTAGAATTTTTGGCAAATATTTTGTCAATGCATATTTTTTTATCATGTAGAGATTGGGGTGCAAACGAATCGGATACGGACAGATAAGGCTGATATTACATTTATTTTCTTATTTCTATTCGGATTCAAATACGGATAGAATCAGCTACTCAGCTACATCGAATAGAATACGAATGGATTGAGTATTTGAATACGGATACGGTATCAGATGTTTTGAATATCCAGACTCTGATACGGACGGATTTGAACTCCTCTAAATGGATTTGGACTCGGATGCTGTTGGAAAATATTTGTACCATTTGCACCCCTACGTTAGAGAATAACATTATGGTTCTAATGAAATTACTCATGTCAATTGGATTTATATTTATCTTTCTATAAGTTTCACAAAATTTCTAGAGTTTACTAGTTTATTATTTTCAGATATAATAGATAACCACATCATGAATCTAAATAAAGCTGATCTCACGTCAATATTTAATTTTCTATGAAATTCACAAAATATTAAACGCATAAAGTACAGACATGCATGTGCACTAGTAGCTTTCACAAGTTCTTTATCTTTGCGTGAATTTGTGCAACGCCGAGCTAGCCAACCTCAGCGTTAAAGAACTTCACGCCGAGCTTTGCCGCGTTTGCCACGCTGGCAACGACGTGGCATGGTCAGCGATTGATCAAGGAACGCTGAGTCGCATACCTTGGCGTGATGTCTGAGTACGCTGAGCTTTCGGTCTATTTCTGCAAATAGTTATGCTAGGGGTCTAGTTGTAGAAATAGTTTATAAAAAGGGCTAAAATAGAAAAATTTCACGCGGGGAGTGGGGGTTGGGCGGCTGTGGTGGAGTTCCCTACCATAGAGTTTTTATAGTGGCAAAGCCAGGGAATCCGAAGGAGTTATATCCAACGGACACGAATAAAATAACGGCTTGGCTAGCGTCTCCACGTCCGGACATGCCCCTGTAAGGACACATGCGCCTGCCTCGCCTACTGTGCCTGTCCGCCCGGCCACGCCTGTTCCTGCACCTGTCCGCCCACCCTGTCCGTTGCAGCACG